TGGTCCTGTGGGACTAACAGCTTTAATGGGTGCACCAATGATCGATCTTGAGAAGTTGTTCAGTGGTCGGGAAAGTAATTCAGCCCTGGAGGCAGTTCAAACGATTTTGTTTAATGGTGATAACGTTAAAGAGAAAACTGTTACTGATGAAATTAGGATAACCGAGGATGTACAGCTTTTAGAGAAAGCGCAGGTATTACTACTAATTGTGTTTCAGTTAATAAGACTGTAAACGTTACTTTGTATTCGGACAAGTAAAAAAATACTTTATTTGAGTGTCAAGGTATTCATATAGCACGAAAGTAATAATCGGGGACACTTTTCTTACGTCTCCAACTGGAGACGGGACCGCCATTTATGGTGGTCATCCGAGCCACGCGAAGGTCTAGCTGCTTGCAGTGCAAAGGGAGTACCTTTATTTCTCAGTCCAGCCCCGGGAATCGAACCCGTGACCTCCCGCTCTGCAGTCAAGTGATCTACCGACTGAGCTAATCCAGCTGCGATCAAATAGTTTTAATTCCGTGTGGACAGAAGGTTGATTCGTATTTAAAAACTATTATGTGCAGTTTCGAACTATATCCGGATTCGTGTGGACCCGCACCTTAATGTGAATGAATAGACGTGTGGCCTGGCTCTCCAGGCTTGAGCAGATTGTGCAATGAGCTAGTAAACCAGAGTTGACCGCTTAAAGATCCATATGTTGGAGAGGATGCTAGAAATTTCTTTCGGTGTCGTCGCTAATTTCTCGTTACAATAGAGAGAGAAATTCTCACTCATTATCTTCAAAAGTTAACTTTCTGTATTATTTTGTATCCCAAGCCATCTCAACCACACAAAACGATAGTAGCAGTAGTATGTGGTGACGTTGGTGGAATAAATTCCATGGAACCCCTGGCAATCGGAGCAGAGCGAGGACTTCCCATTGTAGACGCTGATGGAGTCGGAAGAGCTTTCCCAGAATTGCAAATGTTTTTGCCGTTTGTTTATGGGAGTCCGCCGTACCCTGCGGCCATTGGAGACGAAAAAGGAAATGTTATTGCTGTGACCTTTGCTAACTCCCCTAAATGTTTGGAGGACTTTTTCAGAGAGAAAACGATTGAAATGGGGTTAAGTATATAGCAGTTCATGCTTACATTCTGCCGTGAGACAATAATGAGACAGAGATCGAGGGAAACGCCCAGTCTAGTCCTTAGAGGTCCGCAAACGTTTATTCAGTGTTGTCAAGAGTGAGTAATAGAACATTATACCCTCTTGGTATGTCGCATTGAACTTAATGCGTGAACTTAATGACATTTGAAACAATCGATTAAAATGTGCAAACGTCGAAGTCGCCGACTTCCGCTCAATTACAACCTCCTGAAATTCACATATCCCGGCCAACGCCCTAAGATTCCGTCTCTGTCCAATCATTGCTGTCTTGATTCTGGTTATAAATTGAAAGCCTCAAGTTTTACTGCATTTACAAGAAATCAAGAAAAGATTTGATACAAGTATCAATAACCAGGTTCCTGGGGGCTAATAGGGGCTCAAAACTATGAATTAATAAATTTTGTTTGCCCTACGGGCTTAAGTCTTCTTCAGCCCCTCGTTGAGCACAAATTAAACCAAAACTGTCCTATCAAATTCATATTCCGGCCAACTCTGGGACTCATTTTGGCTTCGGTTCAAATTATCCCTTGAAAACTAAACTTACATATTGATCCTAATCAAGATAGCCAAATTTCACTCATTGTGTACTTTTTTTACTTGCCGAAATAATCCAAATTTCCGCACTGACTCAATTCATTTGATATTGATAACTAATGCAATACTGTACTTTGACTTATTTAAAGTGGCAATAACCTGTTTTCTGTTTCTTCTCGTAGTTGTGCTTCTGGCTTCGCTGTTGTTCTTGACTGGAAAGATGTGAAAGAAAAGTGTGTCCCGTATTCGCTTAGTAGAGTATGGCGGCTGGGAAACTCTGTACTTCGCGCAAAACACAAAAAGGTATCCCCTGTGAGCAGCATCCTTCAACATGAGAATGGAAAAGTGTTGATCGTAGGAAAGGTTTGTAACTCTGTAACACAGAATCATCGTCATGACAACGAATAACTGAGCTTCTTCGCGTTCTAACAGTTACATCATACTCGCATTCACACCAAAGCTTAGACACGTTTACAAGCTGTTTAGTTAAACAAGGTTTAAAATTGTCTTTTTTTTTCTCCATGAAAGCTGCTTACTAACTTTTGGCTATTGCAAATAATGTACAAATTACAGACAATGTTAAACGGTTTATTTGAATCTTGTGTAAACATCTGTGTTCCAGTTTTCTATTTATGGTTTTCATTTATGAAACCTGGGTTAATTAAACATATTTAGTTGGTGTGAATGATGCAACGTCTGTTATTTAATGTAGAAAGCTATGGTGTATCCAGCTCTAGTTTTCCTATAAAAGTTGCCGCTAACAGGAGAAATTCTTTAATGCATTGTGCTAAGCCAGGTTGTTGTTTTTAGATCGCTGATATCCATCGTGCGACGGAAGGAGGGTTTAACAAAGGAAGCTTAATAATCGAGGGCTCAGCGAGATTCAGTGGCATAAAACTCAACATCGAGTTTCAGAACGAGAACTACGTGGCTTTCATCCTCAGATCTGATGGATCTAAAGACGTTTTGGCCACTGTTCCTGATCTCATCTCTTTAGTTGATGAAGACACAGGTCAACCGATCATAACAGAGGAAGTTCGTTATGGTTTGCGAGTGGCTGCCATTGCCTCCCCCTGCTTTCCACTGTGGACAACCCCGCAAGGATTAGCAACAGTTGGGCCTGCGGTGTTTGGATATCAAGATGTTGTTTACAATCCTGTCAATGTGTATAAGAAGCACCCTCCCATACCAGCAGCTAGAAATTAAGCATTAGGTTTTTTATTTCTTTTACGGCTTCACGGCAATTGTGGTTAGTATACAAAGTACTCATTAAAGACTTTTGAGATAAAGGTTTGACCATCCCACCGTAAACACCAAATCGCAGTTTGCGATAAGCGGTTTCATAAATACTTATCATTTATATTGCGCGAATTAACATAAAAAATATGATTAACTGCGTATTTCACGTTACACGTCGACTTCAGATTCCAGAGTGGTTGCTCGCGGCTGCCACGTTTGTTTTCATTCGTTCCGGTTCAATTCTATTTTAGCTGAGAAATTGCCTTCAAAATTGAAAAAGACTGATAATGCAACAAGCGAAAGAGTTCTAGAAAGTAATATTTCCTCTCCGAGACGTGGGAGGCTTTAGGGTGCAAAAAACCTTGCGGTAAATGACTTCCCTCTAGAGCGTGGTCCATCCCTAAAAACGTGGATAACAGTGGATAACCGAGTGCTCTTTCGCGGTTTCCCCCAACACACACATATATGTATTCAGTGGATAGTAATTTATTCATTGGAAAGCACTATCCAAGTTTTGAACAACTGGACCTTGGGTGGCACTTATANCTTTTTCAACGTTATTTTTGATGTTTACACTCACGTGGATAACAGAGAAACTGAGCTAGAGCTAGTTTCTGAGAACAAAAGAGAAGAATTTTGTAGGAAGAAAAACGTGAAAATTCAAAGCGACTGTGAGACAATGAGAAATGCTAGTGGCCAGCAAGGTGAAACTGAGCGCGGCAGTGAAAAATAAAAGCGAACATCAACACAGGAGACAAAATATTGGGTAAGAATTCCTCCATAAAAATAATGTGCAACTAGGAAGTTTGACGTTTAGTCCTACAAAACAGCGTTGTAGTTGTGCAAAACAACGGCAAAGAAGGACGAAAAGCGTGCTGCACGTGCAAATTTTTTTTGTTTTGCTAATTAGAAAAAAAAGTGTGCTGCACGTGCAATTTGTTTTTTTGCTAATTAGATCTATTGGTGCCATTTCCATTGGCCTCTCCGTTTAGCATTAGACGATTTAATTTTTTTTGTTTACAGGTTTTATTAACAAGAGCTTCGCTTTTAGCCCTGGCTAAATCTATATATTATCTTGGAAGCGACGCCGACTTTACAGAATAAAATCCAATCTATAAGATAGTATTTAAAATAGCTAACTAAAGATAGTACGAGCGTTCTAATTGGTTTAAAACCTATGGTTTATTGTGCTGGTAAACTCATAGTTTTACTTAAAGTTATTTATAAAAGCAATAGACACTGTATAGGTAGAGCGTGGGTTATCACGGCAGTAAATCCATAGAAAGTGTGGTCTATTGCTTAAATAAGCGGGTGTTTACATGAGTAAACTCGCACCGGCGCCAGTTTCATACCAGGATGACTTTTTGATTTCGTATCGCGTTTAAATAATGACTGGGCCATTTCATATCTCGTTATTTGAAGGTACACTTCATGTTGATAAATACAAGTGCGATTCAAAATCGCAAACATTACGCATGCGCTACCCGTTCCAGTCTACCGGCAGATTAACCGGCAGACCGATTTCACACCGAAACGGGTGGTCGTTTACCATGATACCGTTACAAGATTTCGTACCGGAGTGAAATTCTCGCCACGGTACAAGAACCGGGGTAACCTCACGCCGGGGTAACTCGCGCCGGCATGACATTTTGTGGTGGTATCATGAATATAGAGCAATGAGAGGGAACCGTAGTGAACTCGCTTCGAGGCGAAAGTCACCCCCGCCGGTGTCATGTAAACACCCCCTAAGATATATATAGACGTGACGACAGTGATAAGGGCGCGCGCAGATCTGAAAAAAAATTCTTGACCAATAGCAGAACGGCAAATTGAGCCCCGGACTTAGGTTCAGTCCTTTCCGCTCACTTACGACTTAGCTAATCTGCTTATCAACTGGTTCATGATTGTGCTCTAATAATTACATGCGGCTATATAACCACGGGTTCTTTCTGATTTTTGCTTTAGTACAACACAATGATGTCCAATTGTAAAATCATCTATTGTGTAACAGTTTCCATTATACCATTGATGAAGTAAATACATATGTCTCTTCAGGCCTTCATATCGTTCACTTTAATTTAGTTCAGGTCTGTGCTTTGTAAACCTGTCACTTCCTGACGCGCAAGACATGAACGGCACTTGACGACGACCGAACGAAAGCAATTCTTAAGTGCTTGTCGGTAGTTTTTGCTAAAAATAAAAAGGATGGCCGGATTGGCAACAGTGCTTAAAAGTGCAGGGAGATAAAGACATGTGATTACAAGCATTTCTTGTGAATCTCTTCTCAAAACGTGTCCAAAAAACACAAAAAAGATGATCGAGAGGTAATAAAGTGTCCAACAGGCGAAAAAAATGACATTGATCGCGATCAACGTTTTGATTATTTTTCGATTCTGTTGATGTCTTCTTGCAGAATTGCTGAGATTAGGGTTCGGCACGCCTTGTGTTGTTGTTCTCAGAGCTTTCATGATGCGAGAATTAAGGATAACGATGACAATAAGGGGGATTATGAAAAGCAGAACAATTCCCATAAAAGTATAAACAGCGTGTAAGAGTTTACTTCCCATTGTGCAAATCAATGGTCCATCCAGTTCTTGTGCTCTCTTGTAATAATGCAAAAACGGGGCGAGCATTCCCATTGGTATTATCCAAGACGCAAGAATGAAAGCCGTTCGCATCTTTCCAGTAATCAGAATCACCTTCATAGGATACACGATAGCTATGTATCTGTCCACCGTTATTAACACAAGACTTTCAATGGAAACTGAATAAGAGACATTTGCAATGTACCTCCCAAATTTACACTGAAAGGAGGACACTGAACCTCCAAGAACAAATAGCCTGCTGCTTGCGTACAGCGCTAGATCAACGGCAACAAAGAGAAGATCCGATACTGCCATGCTAGTGATATAACTGTTGGTACTGTTGCGAAGACTCAGCGTTTTGACGAAAGAAGTAATCACAAGGATATTGCCAATCGCAGATACCAACATGGCGACAGAGGATACAAATGAAAGCACCACTTTGAACGAATAAGGTACTAGCAAGATTTCATTGTAAGGATGATTGCGCGAAATGTTTGAGTAGTTCATTTCGACGGACTTTTTAGGTGTTAAGGTGACAAGCAGAAATTTCGTCTAGTTTTTCGGTATCCGTCGCATTTAACTTCGGAATTGAAGCTCAAAAGAAAACCGAGTTAAGCTTGAAAAAGTAATATATAGCCAGAGAAAATAACATCCCGTTTCGAAACACATACAAATACAGAAGGCCGACAAACGGCCTCTATTTGTTTTATTGTCTATCTCTGAACAAACATGATAATGGTCACCTTGGCAAATTGAATAGAATCACAGAAAACTTCGGGTTTGTTATCTTTTTAAAAGGTGTCAAATAAACATAAATTCGTTTTCTGACTTGAACTGAAGTTTTCGCTCTTTATCGAATAGTAAATTTGCATATATATTTAGAAAAAGGAAAATATTATCTGGGAAAAAATCTCAAGTTCTTTTAATTTTGTTCTTTTCAAACCAAACAGGTGTTGGTTTTTTCCTTGTTGATTTTACTAATTGCATGACAATCATTACATGCCATAGTTAGTGGGCAAAAAACAATCATGATGTTGTTCCTCTGACTTAATTCTCAAAACTTATAGATTAAACCAATTCTGGGTGCTGAGTTGTTTAGTACTTTCAAAGTTTTTCTTTTATGTGCATATAGAGTTGTTTGTTCATTTTACCAGGTATTTAAACACAATACCAAGAACAGTTTCTAGGCAAAAAATAGGATTTTTCTCCTGATACAGGCGCTTTAATGATATTTGCTTCATGACAGGATTAATATATTGACTCAAGGCAACAAGCAATAGGTTCATGGTATAAATTAAGCGTACAATAAACGCGGTCGGGTTGGAAGCTCATTGTCCTCTCCTAGCGACTCATCTATCTACAAAAAAAAACGTTGTAAAGTAAGTTTCATGTGGCGGTCGAGTTTTTTTTTCGTGGAGCCATAAAAAAGATTTTATTTTGGAGCTTTCGCTTCTATCTTCCATAATTTAAGATTTTTTTATATTCATTTAACTAATGAAGCCAAAGCTCCGAACACACATTTTTTATTCGCTCCGAGGACAAGAATTAATATAACCCCTTGGATAAAAATTGAGCTTTCCGCTTATATTTCAGGTTCTTTCCTTCCCGAAGATTAAAAGTTTCTACCCTTATTCCCACAACAATGTTTCCTTTGGTAAATTATGTCAAAATCAGAAGCTACGGAAACGAGATATAAAATGATTAGAGGCCGTCACATTGCTGGCGCGAAATCTGCTTAAAATCTTCCAACCTCGTTCCCAGGTTCTCTCTCCTACCCTTCGAGCCGTAGGGACTGGTAGGAGAGAACCCTGGGAACCAGGTTGCAACTCTTCCTTTCCATCCTCCTTGTTTTCCTTTAAAGCAATTGATTCTCACTTTTATTTTTCACAGAAAAGTGTGAACAGTAATGTCAATGTCGAAGTTTTCTCTTGCACTAATAACTATGCTCGACTTGAAGTCGTCAAATAGGTGTCTAATCCGGCGCAGAACCTTAAATGACTTCACCCTTGGACGTACACGCAAATTCATACCCCCATTTCATTTCGTCGTCGTTGCACAACTGCCAAATGAAACTTCCTTATTTCAGGCACGCGCTTGCTTTATGGAGTAGGTAAAAATAACACAAAAATTTTCTTTTCCTAAACTTAGGGCCTGTTTATTTACATGGAGGTGGGGTGAGGTAACCCGCTTAGGTGGTGTAATCCGACTGTCCATATATGGTCACCCCACCTATCATGTAAACGTGATCAAATTAAAATGCATGCATGAAAGATTATTCCTCGTGAAGCCCCTCCCCGCTAGGTTTATAATCTCGTGGCGGGGGGACCCCAGGCAAGTAAGGTAACACGCCTAGGTGGGGTAACCCGCCTGTACATATAATCTCTCGTTTTAATTTGATCACGTTTACATGATAGGTAGGGTGACCCGCTGAATGTTACATCACCTATCTGTGGTCCCCCACCTCTATGTAAACAGACCCTTACTCACCGGTCTGGTAGACAATGCTTTATACAAAAGTGACAAATTTTCCAGAAAGGGTTGCGGGCATTAGGAGAGGAGAACGGGGAAAAGAGGTAGAGAGGACACGCAGTCTCCCTACCCCAGGGAACGCCTAACTTGAAAAATGCCTGGGACAGGGTTCGTACTCTTTTGAGCTCTTCAAATTCCATTACTTTCCATGACCTTTTCAAGTTTTCCAAGACCTTAGGTTTAGCTGTCACCTTAAAGGAATTCAAAAACTTTCTTTGTTTTGGGGTATTTTTGGACCTTTGAAAAAGAGTCCCGCAGACTCACACTCTGGTGCAACAAAATGCGTACCGTTTGCGCTGTGTAATTACTCCTCTTTATCTTACATTGTTCTTGCCTTGTAACCTGCAGTAACTAATCTATCAAACAAAACTTTAATTTTCTATGACTTTCGAGGACCGACAATTAAATTCCAAGACTTTCCAGGCCTGGACGAATGAAACTCTTGGTTTTCCATGACCTTGACGAACCCTGTTGGAGAAGGGATGGGTATTCTACGAAGCTACAGTGTCTGACGTTCAGTAAATTTCATGATACATGCAATGTTGTAACTTGCAAAACAGAGATTCAAACATCGTGAAAGACAGTCGCTCGAAATGACAACAAGCATTTTACAAGTTGTTTATTTTACATATTATACAAGCAGAAACACTTTAAACAAAATCTTTGTCAATAAAATTCTAACTACATGTTGTGTATACCTAAAAAGAATAGTTAAAATATAACGAATAAGGTTACAATTTAGTTATTAAGTAAAGATTTGATAAGGCTAAGGCCTATATGATTAAATTAGATATTTTACAAGCTGTTACATTAACATGTACTAAGAAAATTAATTTGAAAAATGCTGTCCTCTAAAGATAGTCAAAAGTCGGAAATGGATACTGTATAATATATGCATAAGGTTTAGCTAATCAGGTTCTACCTCGAAAGAGCAAGAATTTCGTAGTTTTCTAAAATATAGCAGAACCGGCACAACTGAATCAATTCGTCATAGAGGGAATAGAAGAGAAAGATTTAAGAAGATAATATTATAAAAACCAAGGACATTTTACAAGGCATATCTATCCCATTATATGCAATTTGAAACTAAAAATGTCTTCGACACCAGAATTCAAATTTTCATAACACATTGAGGCATTTAACATTTTCTAATAACGATTTTTTTAAAGTAGGTAGTAAAATATTTACATAGTTCATCTTTTGTTTATTATTTGGAAAAATTCAAGCCAGAGGTAGCATCTCCGGTGCTGTGAGATTTGAGACGCCATGAAAACTGAAATGACAACAAAATAAAAACAATTAATATTAGCCATGCCAATAAACAAGCAACAGAAGAGTAAGATTGTTTGAATAACCGCGCACTAACAACATGTACGTTAACTAATACTACGTGACAGTCGTCACGAGGTGTCCTCGGGAACAACATGAAGTCCATGGAGGTACTCATTGATACTCGAGACATCCATGTTCAGGTTCGTTTGCAATTTCATTACATTTCTTTCCGTATTGCATGCACCAATGAACGGAAATGAATTCCATCATAATGGCAGCTTCACTGCCGTGCCCAGCAGTTTACTTTCACAGAGCAGTGCACCTTCCAGTTTTAAACCACATATATTTTTCTTTCTTGAAAATAAAAACAAATTGCACGAAAGCTTTTAAGGTATGAATGGGGGGATTGATGTCCAAAGTATGTGACACCCAATTATCCATAATCTTCCTCGGGATTTTCTCAAAATAGTTATATTTCACACATACTTGAAAAGGCCATCAGGGAATAGCTGTCTACAGTTACATGGTATGAAAAAAGTAAGCAAGTGTGAAACTGAAAGGGACTATATGACGTGTTATGAATTGCAATTATCTTACCTGGCACTCTGGTATTTTTCCCTAACAGCTTTTTGTGCATGTTTTGGTGCAAGACTGAATGTTCGATGCAGATCATGAAGACATGGTTGAAGATC